CCTCCCACTTATAACTGAGGGGCAGACAGACGGAGGCACTTGAATTTGGAAAGGGCGCTGGCCCTCTCTGAGCGCGGCTAGTCCCGGTTAGACGATGCAATCGTACCCACGACTTCTGGAGTCTGAGGCCCATTACCAGCTGACGGTTTGAGTCATGGGCCTAATCTTATATACAATAAACAAAATTACTACAATAAAAGGGATAAGGGGGAGCCAGTCATCCACCAGGAGGTTAAAAAAAAGGGTAATTTCTGAAAACTCAGTATTATTAATTGGAGGAATAATTGCCTCCCTAACAGAATAATGAAGCTAAGAGGGGCACCGTTTATCTGAGGCAGCTTCAGAGCAGGCCCATCAGACGCAGGGAGAGGTCTAAGGACTTATCAGGTCCCTTCCAGACCTATGATTTTAAAAGAGGCAGATAAATATCCCATGGGGCCTTGTTACTTTTTAAATTGATAACTTGCTTCTGTTCAAGAAGAGCTTTGTGGGTCTAATACATTAATTATATCGGCAGAGAGCCGTCCATCCACGGATCCCAAGGAGCTCTGCCAACAGGGGCTGTGGCACCACTCCATCTGGGCAGACGGAAACACTGAGGCACGGAGCGGTTAGGAGAAACTTCCAGGGTCACACAGTGCATCGTCTCAGAAGATCTGGAAATAGATGCCACGTGGTGCTGTTGTCCGGCAGATTTGAGGGCTTGGTTTTCTGACGCCACTCTCTCAACTCCCAAGTCTCTCATAATTTCAGAGAGGGTTTTACGCTTCCAAATGGCTTTCAAAATGATCTGTTTTAATTTAGAAAATAAATATAGGACAGAGGATTTTTGAAGGGGAGTGTTTATCTGTTTTGAAGAGATATGGCCAAACCAAATGCAAAGCAACTTCTTCCAACTCTCTGCGCTCAGGACTCCATGACGGGGCCCAAACTCCACCTGGCAAGCCTGGGCTCCGAGCCACACTGCCCAGGCACGACTGGCCTTCAGGCCTCCACGCTGACGGAGCCTCTCCAGGAAAAAGCACCGCTTGACCCCTAGACTGAATATCGAGGACGCCGGTTTCCCTCTGGAAGCAAGACGACGAGCATGGCCTGGATGGAATCGTTGAGAGCCTGGTGACCAGGTGGCTTCCATAGGGAAGCCATGGTTCCCGGTGTCCCTGGTGTAGATTACTTGTCTTTGAGAGCTTCAATCCACAGTCTTTGAAACACTATTAAATTCTGAAGGAATAAGCTGGTGCCGTGGGCCCCTTGGAGTCATCATTACACTAATATGTGAGGGTTCCCCGGGCCCCTATATGATAATATAACATCATGACACTAATACCATGAGCTTAGGGCATTTCTGTGCCACAGCACAGCGTAATGCTGGAAACTCTTGGACCCAAGCTTGACCTCATGCCTCCTCAGCCTCTCACCCTCAATCTGGCCTTTAGGATACATTTAGCACCGCACAGACTCTCTCTTTTAGCCCAAATTTCTTGCAAATGCATCAGAACAGCCCAGTGACACCGTGACGAGGAGCAGGGTACTCACAGCCATGTCACAGGGGAGACACCACGTTTCCCAAAAGGGGAGGATGGAAGACAGGCCTTTGCTTTGACATATATGGACAAGGGCCTTGTCCCCCTGTGCAGACACCGGTCTCTGTCTCCTCGCCTCCAGGGCAGAGGCGGGACGAGCATCCCAGAGCTGAGGAGGACCTTGGCCGAGGCCTCCTGCCTTCCAGCTCCTCCCACCTTTCTCCCGGCTCCTCCCTTGGTCTGTGTGCATATAACTGTGCCTATAATTACCGACACATCCGTGAATCTTCTACTCGTGTCTGTGTTTGGGGTGTTATTAATTCAGCTGGTGAAACCCAAAGCAGCAGTTTTCTGCTTGTGGTTTCTGAAGGAATTTACGCGAAGCCATTTGTCTAATCTAAGGGAGCACACAGGCTGGATACGGGCTCCATCAGGCGGAAGAGCTCTCTGCCTTGTGGTTACGCCAGAAATACGGGTAAGGAGGGCCCGCCCTATAGGAAAATCATAGGTTCCGTATTTACAGCATGTGGAATTGGATAAGGATTGAGGTGTGCTGTACATATGGCTGTCTAAGTGGGCTGAGTTTTGTGACGAGGATGCTTGCAATCCCCCGGCCACAGTGAAATGGCTTCCTCACAGGAGACCTCACCATTACCTGTTGGGTGGAAAGAGACTAAGAAGAGGCTGCTCATGGGCTAGGGAGGCGGGAAAAGAGTTCCTTAGTCTTACTCGCTTCCTGGCTACAAGAAAGAAGTCGCTCCCCACAGGCCCAGGCTTTGCCTCAGCCCAGCCTGGCTCACAACTGTAAACAGCATTTTGCAAGAAAGAGCACAGCCATCCCCCACCACCTTGAGCGCTCATTAATCTTGTTTATCTCCAATTCCTTGGTCTTTGGTGCACTGCATTGGTGTTGACAGTGACCAAGGAATTGAAATCAGGTTGCCACATTTCTGCCCCCAACATCACCATCCCCTCTTCATACCCGGTGGAGTAGTTTGCACCTGCAAACTCTCCCCCTGCAGCACTGAGCAGAGCAGGCAGCTGCCTTCACCTCTGCTCCGCTCTGCTCACAGGTCCTGCTGTCTGAATCTTGCTTTCAAGCCTACCACCTAGCACCAGTGAGTTTGGCATGGTGCCCACCATCCAGCGGCTACAAAGAGAAACTCAGTGGTAGCACCCGTCTCTCCCCCCACGGCCCCCAAGCTCCCTCCTCGCCCCGCCTCCCGTTCATGGCATCAAATCAAACTGCAGCAGACTTGACAAATCTATTTGGCACGGTTCACGCAACTTTTCCAACCTGAACAGCCCAGACAGCTGTGCTGAGGCACCATGAGCAGTGAGGGGTCTACACACGGAACACAGACATCCGGGAGACAGGTCTGCTAAAGAAGGAGCTGCAGAGACCACCCTGAGGGGAGGACTGGCAGGTCTGAGCCACTCCCGCCACGCCCGCCGTGCCCGTCACGCCTGTCACGCCCATGGCAGGGCGAGGGAACGTGGGACAGGGCAACGCCACAGGCAGGCTTCCAATCTGGGTACCAAGAGGATGAATCTCTCGTGGGGAGGGGAAGAGCTTTTTCTCTGCCCCGGCACCCTTTAAGTGGGCAGGACTGAGTCACTGAAAAACCAAACAACAACAACAAAAGAAAAACAAAATTACCCCTTGGCTACTGGGGAAAGAAATTTAGCCAAGGGAGAGAAGAGGAGGCGAGAGAGAGGATGACGTGGCCAATATGAAAAAGCTGAGAAGAATGATTCTCAGGGAGACCGGAGAGCTCAGTGCCGTTCTCAGGAATACCTCCCCTGAAGAATGAATACCAAGGATAAAGCCAGGGAGGACAGCATCCTATCAAAATGTGCAGTGCTAAGGTATTTCCAAAAGCGGATTTCCTACAAATGGCGTTTTAAATAGCATCCCGGTCCAGCTGTGTGCTTTTAAAACCAGCTTATGCTACAGTATCCCTCTGGCCAGCGCTGCTTAGTCACGGAACCTGGACGGGGAGCCTGGCCCGGGAGGCGGTCAGGTGGGCCTCCTCCCCCTCCCCCAGGCGTCCCCCATCCAGCTGCCCGGCTGGGTTCCACCTGTCTGTTACTGAAAAGGGTTGGTGGAGAGAGGCCTGAAAAGACGGGGTGGGCCAGGGACAGGCCTCTGCGCTCCCAGCACCATGGCAGACTCGGGCTGGTATCCTGGGCGCGGCTCCTGAAACCAGCGGAGTCGGTGAGTGCCCAGGCCTGGCTCCAGACGCCAGCGTGGGAGGTCTTTGGATGGCTGAGCGCCGCTGTCTTTCTCTGTGAAACGGGGAATTTTGCATGTGTGAGATACCTGGTAATATCTGGAAGTCATGATTTTCAGATGAATGGTGCCATGTTACTATGGTGATTTTAATTAAAAAAAAGAATCCACTCCTCTAAAAAACGCATGTTTCCCAAGTGAAACAGTGCCCACATTCTAGTTCAGGGTTTTCTGGATCCAAGCTTCCCAGCTGCACCAGCAACAGCCAGCTGCCTGGGGCCGTGGCAGGAGTGGGGGAGACCGTCTGGAAAAGTCTCTGGCCTCTCCAGGTTTGGCTGCGTGGGTCCCAGTTTGATAATTCCCAGCCCAACAGACCAGGGCCTGTGGAACTGAAGCAGCAAGGAGGACAGACCCTTCCCTCTGTGCCCAGCTCCCTCCAGGGAAGGAGCCTTCTCCTTCTAGACTGAGTCAGCCCCTGCCCAGGGGAGACCACCAGCATTTGCAACAAGCCCCGCCCCGCAACACGCTGAGCGTCCCTGACACCCGGACATCGCCATGCCAGCTGCAGGCCTGTTCACACCCCAAACGCCATGTGTCTTAAGAAAGCTGAGTGCCGGACACCCATCCATATGAACAAGAAAAGCCCCACGTCGCCCACACGGTGGCCTCGGGAGCCACAGATGTGGAGGGCACCAGCCTTGAGGATCCAAGGCTTGGCGGCCCAGCCTGGTGGCCAGCTCAGATCTGTCCCTGAGAGGCCGCATCAGTCCCCTTTATTTACTGTCCTCTTTCTTCTTCGGGACATTGTGATTCTCTCTCAGGATCTGTGCCCTTTCATTTCCAGACCTCGGTAACTCCTGAACTGTAGCTACATGTGGTTTCGTGATTGTTAACCCAGCATGGGGAAGGGACATGGGCCGTAAATGCTCAATGAATCCTGGATGGGGACGCAGACCGGGAACACATTTTCTCCCTCATTTGCAGTCAGAGCACTGTGCGAGCTTGCTCTCCCTCTCTCGCTGCTGTGCAAGACACAACAGCAGCCAGGCTGTTGGTGAAATGGGGCTTTCCAGCCACTTCAGCATGAGAAGGAGTATTTTCAGGGCCAGCATCTCCAGTGCCTCCACCAGTTATGTGAGCTTCACGGAACAAGTCCCCTCCCCTATGTGGGGTCGCCTTGAAGCTCCCTGTCCCACCCTTGCCGCCCCATCCCGGCTTCCCTTGAGGTGGGGAAGTGGGTTTACCTTGTGGTTTTTGCCGTGCCGGTACACCATCCAGTCTTCACCATTAGTGCTGACTTCCAGCTTGTAGGATTTGACATAGTAGCCATTCTGGGTCTCCCTGGAAACTGCTCCCTGTGTTGCAATGGCCGTGAGCATGGTCAGAAAGCGCAGGTCCACCTGAGGGAGAGAGGCAGGGAAGGTGGGGCAGGACTCTGAACCCACGCAGGCAGCCTCCCGCTTTCTTTTCAAAGGACGCACTGGAATCCTTATGTCTGCGATTCCTTCAACGTACTGTTGACCAGCATCAGCTGTCCAATTCCACTGGACAGTTAAACTTAACTTATTTAACACTAAATTAGACACCTTTGAAAGTGTGACGATTATTTTTCTTTTTTTTCTCTTTTTTGCAAATCTGAACGGACACCATTGAGTTTATCTTAAAGGAGCACTGACGTCTAGAGCTCCCTCCATGGAAGGAGCCCTCTCCTTCCAGACCTAAGAGCCAGCTCTGCCCAGGGCAGACCACTGGCATTTCCAACAAGCCCCTTCTTACTAGATGGCGGCCTGCCTTGGAGAGCGAAAGCAGATGCTGTTCTAAGAGAACAGTGGCTAAGTCCACTCCATGCCACCCCACCCCAGCCCAACTCAACCCAGTTCACTTACGATGCCCTAGTTGCAAACGTCTCAGCTCGGGGGCTGTCTCCCCTCCCCTCAGTCCCCCACTCCATTGTGTATTTAGCTGCTCAGGTCACTAAGGGGTCAAAGGGCAGGCAGAGTCTGCCCAAGCAATTAGGCTTATGCACCACATCCTGACCTTTTGCTCGATGGGGAGGGTGGCGACACTCTGAGGCACCTCCCCTCCCTCAACACCAAACCCATTTGGAAATTGCTGGATGGCATTCCTCTGCTGGCCACAGCGTTTCTTAATGGCAACCTCTATTTGATCCAAATTTAGCCAGCACGCACTGGTAAAATTGGATTCAGCAGGCATTTACTGGCTACTGAGTCTGTGCTCAGCATTATTAAGCATTCAAACGAAATACGCAGTGCTGTATGTGTGTATCACAGACAGGTGGACAGCAATAAGAGGCAGTATACGATTAAGACCAAAAATAACAAGTATAATCAATGGAATGCTGATTATATAGGAGAACTTCCTGGAAGCTTGGGATGAGAAGGATTTTTGAAGAGGCAGAGGAGAGAGTGACAAATGGCCTTAGAGTTGTGCTGTTAGAACCTCTGTGGACTTGCTGGAAGTTTCTAAGTGGTCTTTCTCTCTTTCCTCTTGTTGGCTCTGCAACCTCTTTCTCAGAGCAGAGGTCACCATGTCACATCAGAGCGAGGACAGGCCTGTCCCTGGGTCACAGGCTGTCTGCCGTATGTCATTAAAGCACTCATTGCTCTAGCATGGAACGAGCAGCTGGCTCTTCCCTGGGGAGGAGAACTGGACCAGTCTGCAGCCAGGGAAGATTACTCACCACGAGGGGCAAGTCTCATTCCGAAGGAAAGCAGACAGTCTGAAAAGATGCTGCAGAGCATCTGGGCAACTAGCATCTCATTCCCGGGGTGACAGGTTCCCATGTGTTCTCCTGAGTGCTGTGTGCAAAACCTTCCTGGCAGGACTCCCTCCAAATAGCAAAGATCAGGAGAAGCTGTCATGCTCAGCTGGCAATGCAACAAGCCTGCCTTTAGGACACGCCCTCCGGTCTCCAGTGCCTCCCTGTGCCCAGAATGAGAAAGATCTGCGTCTGTTGACGGGCTGCTCCTTGGATGTCTAGAGTGGTAGGGCAAACAGCATCCTAGCCAAACAACTTCTCTGAGGCCTGGTAATCTTCACAAGGGCATGGGCGTGTCCATCTTACTGGCCATTTGATCCCAGCACTTAGCCTGGTGTCCGCACGGTTTGTTTGTGCCTGGCACACACATCTGTTTTGATGGATGAGTGAGTGGAGTTTTCAAGAATGCTGTATTCATTTTCTCTGTGTCCTTTGTCACCTCTAGCCGGGGACCTACTCCCCTTGCCCACCACCACATGCACACTCGCACACCCTCTGGCATCTAAGTACCTGGAGATACTCCTTGCTGGAATCCAAGTTGGGTGTCCAGCCATTGTCATCACCGTGGAGCCGGCTTTGTTGAGGTGTCCACCTCCCGTCAGAGTAGGTAGATGAGGCGCTGATCTGCTCATTAGCAATCCGGCCAGACTCCATTCCCAGAGGGACGTTGCACTGAAAGCCTGGGGAACAGGGACGGTCAAGGGCAGAGTCAGGTCTTGCAACCTCCAACCCCTGGGACTCCCAAAACGCTGCTCCCTTCTAGGGACAAGTCCTTGCAGGCATGCTCTCATCTTAAAGACCTCATTATACACTCACATTTCTAAAACAACTACGCCACATCACAGAGCTTGACAACCCCTCTGGGTCTGAAAGAAACTAAATTGGACCTAAAAGAAATAAGGCTATGGATAAATAAGAATCATCATAGAAATTGAAAAAACAATCTAAAGCACAAGAACTGTCAGTGCTGCGGGCTACGGATGCTCACAGGTGCCAGATGCGCCACGGCTGAAACACAGGTAAGCGGTGATGGACTCGTGGCAGTTTGGGTGGGCTGCTGCGTCGTGGGAAGCCTGCTTTATTAATAAACACCCAGGAGGCACTTTTGTTTCTTTCTTTCACTCAACTGTCTCATGAGTTCTGGCACAGAAGACAGACATTATAAAGCAATAAATACCTGTCTTTGGGAGATCTCTCTATGAACACACGCATGTCACTCTGTCTTCCCCTGTGCCACCTGTCTGGGAAAATGGACCTAGGAGCCACTTACTCTGGCCTGGGGCCATCAGTTTAATCGCTGTCCTTCCCATGGATTCCATGGACACTGGTCAATATTTGTGTGTGCATGTGTCTGACAGGACCAGCAATCATTTTCAGGTCTCAAACCTATTCTTTAGCTCTGTGACTGCACCAGCCGTTTGCAGAACTCGGTGCAATTTGCAATACTGCTTTCTTGTCCCTCAATCTTCATGAGCTCTTTGAAGGAAAAACAAAAGCAAAACCCAAAACAAAAGCCATCGACTTTCCAGCAGGCGAGGCTGCCGTGTTGCAGGTGCGCATGTGGTAAGCTGTGTACAACCATGGCAGGATGTCCCCAGCTCCACTCATCCTCAAAGTGTTTCTTTAGTCCTTCGAGTTACTGTTTGGGTTTCTAAGTGGAAGGGGCAGCACTTTCGAAGCACATGTCCGAGAGAAGCTGATTTGAAGATGTCGCTCAGGGCAAGAGACGGATGCCTGGACAGCAGGCTCCGCAACAGCTGGGGGCAGGGCGACACTTCCACTGCCTTGCACGGTGCCTGGCACCACGTGGAAGCTCAAAGGCTGTGTTTATTGGAAGAATGAAGTGACAGTCCAAGCAGTGACCCGTCTAGTGAAAGAAACTCTACCCAGGACCAGAGATGTTTAATGTCAAAATATATATATAGAGAGAGAGGTCTAAAACTGCTCAGTTTTGTGATGATGGCACTGAGGCTTGGAGAGACTCAAAAACTGTTAGCCCAGGTGGGGACCTGTACTGACATCCTGCCTCACCTCCCGTTCATTCATAGAGGAACACACTGAGGCTGGAGATGCTCCTCTGACTTTCCCTGGGAAGAACTAACTTGTGGGACACAGACTTCTTTTACAGAAATGAGCACCCAGATTGACATTTGTTTTATTTTCATTAATTCCTGCCTAGCAAGAGGACACAGCTCCCGTTCCTCAAACTCAGACGCCACTGCAAATTCTGCAGTATATCCATCTCTTTCTCTCCCAGACGCCAGCCTCTCTTCACGGCGCACCCTCACAGCCCTGACGGAGGACAGGACAGGGGTTCCCAACCCGCCAACTCACTCTCTAGTGGCTCCTGGTGGACCAGGTAGTACCGTGCAGAGAAGCCATCCTTGGCCACCGCCATGTCCGTGTGGAAGGTCAGAGAGAGGATCCCGGTGGACGAGCGGAGTTCAGAGGGGGTTTTGGTCCCACAGTACTTGCCAATCAGGGGGCCGACTGGACATGCAGGACAAAGAGAGGTCAACAGAAACAGAAATGCCAAACTCCATTTTCAATATACTCTCCCTCCCCACAGCTGCATGTCATTAAACAGAGCATCACCTTGTAGGCCTCGGCATAAAAGAATAAGCAAAGATGTGTTCTAAGAGCAATGTCTAATATTTCTCCTGCACATCAAAAAGTATTTTCACTGACCTAGCGTCATTCTGTTCTCACGGCCCTGGTAGATGGGCCGGAGAGCCTCGTTACGATGCCTGTTCAACAGAAGAAGAAATGGAGGTTCCGAAAGGTCTTTTGCCTGTTCACACAGCTAGGCAACAGCAGAGCTGGGATGCAAACCCACGTTTTCCGACACAGTCTCATGCTTTTCTCAGGAAATGAAATCGTTTAGCCATCCAGTCTCCCTTACAGAGCAAAACAGTTAGAATGATGACAAAGTGCGAGACTGGCGTCCTCGCTGACACTGACCACACCCAGGACCAGTGCTGGTCTCCACCTGAGCAGTGCAGGCTCCTCGTGGCCTTGGGTGATGGGCCTTTTTGACATCTACAACTGCATTAATAATAAAATTATAGTAATCATGAAGATGATGACAGCAGCTTATTTATACTGATGAGACACAGATAGGTTAAGTAACTTGCCCAAGGTTGCAGAGCTGCTAACAGCAGAGCCAGGAGTCAAATCTAGTCAGTCTGGCTCTGGAGTCCTATTTGGGCCTAGAGGGTGGCCACTGAGTCACTTTCTTTCTTTTTTTTTTTTCCCAAAGATTGGCACCTGAGCTAACATCTGTTGCCAACTTTGTTTTTTTTTTTCCTTCTTCTTCTTCTCCCTAAAGCCCCCCAGTACATAGTTGTATATTCTAGTTGTGGGTCCTTCTGGTTGTGCTATGTGGGATGCTGCCTCAGCATGGCCTGATGAGCAGTGCCCTGTCTGCACCCGAGATCCGAACCAGGCAAACCCCGGGCTGCCAAAGTGGAGTGCGCAAACTTAACCACTTGGCCACAGGGCCGGCCCCCATGAGTCACTTTCTGTGGAAATCCTGACTGCTGGGGCCGGAAAGAACGTTAGCTATAGGTTTCTCCTCCTCCTCCAGGTGTGTCCTCCACCTCCTGCTGTCCTTCTCCAAAGAAAGATCTCCCAGAAAGGAAACCGCCCTTCTACCATTTCTCTGAAATCGTCCTGGAGAAGGATAAGGAGAGGAAGCCATCATGGGTCACAGCTGGACCCTAAGGGGCCCTGAAGTTGCTGTGTGCTTTTTATTGTTACTAAAGCCATCAGCAGGCAAAGGTGAGGCTCCCGAGGAGGACTCGCGCGGCCACGTCACTCACCATGTGGGATGCCGTCCCAGATGTCCAGCCAGTCGTATTTGCAGTCTCCCTCTCCCACCTGCAGAGGGTCATGCTCCAGGTCAAAGGTCAGAAACTGCAGGACGATCTCCACCTTGGGTTTGGCCAGGATGGTGAAGGTGCAGTCCAGGTTGTGCGGGTACTTCTCGGGAAACCCAGGGGACTCGATGGTCCCGTTGGGGCTTGTGAAGTTTTTGGAACAGTCTTCGGAGCCTGGATGTAAAAAAGAGAACGGTAGCGTTATGCAAGAAGAAGAGGCCTTTCTTTGCTGCCTCTGTCGCATGGGTTATTTAAATGTTTGGGCCCAAATCCCCCAGCCCGTTGAGGTTTTTGTTTCCACTGGAGTGGCCCTTGAAGCAACAGACTGCACATCCACGTTTCAAGCCCTTGAGCCAGACCGTCTTTGGAGGGACTCGGGGAGGCGAGCTGGCTTGCTCTCTGGGGGGAGAGCGGCGAGGAGGCACGGCGGGGACGGGGGGAGAAAGAAGCGTGTGTGTGAGACGCAGAGACGGGGAGACCCAGTCTCTTGACCAGAGGAACAGAGTCTTCTTTCTCAATTACTCAGCTGCTTGCTCCAGAATGTAAGTTATTTCAATCCCTAAGGAAGGCTTGCTGATTGCCAGCAGGGAAAACAATGTCTCCCCTTATTTATTGCTGACCTCAACACTAGCCCCTATTGTACCCGAGCCAACTGAGTGCCCCTTCTCCCTCCAAGATCCAAGGTGCCTCAGGGGAGGGGCAAAGGGGAGCTCGGGTCTCATTCATGGCATGACTACATTAAAACGAGCTGCTCTGTAGCGGCCAGACAATTAACAATCGACGTTTGTAGCCGGTGGATCACAGCAGGGCATCGGGGATGGTAAAGGCTGCTCCAGCAGCAAGTTTGGAAAAATGCGGCAGTGGCCCGGCATTTGGAAGGCTTCTGGCTGCTTTGTGGTGGGGATGGCCTGGTTTCTCTCCCAAGCCCTTGTGCCTGCTGTCTTGGGACTCACGGCCTCGTCCTTATTAAATGCCGCACACATTCACATCCTGATGCAGGATTGGAGTGGGGCGGGAGCTCCTAAGAGGATTATAGCCATCATCTCTCCCAACGCCTCCAGGTGGAGGCGCATTAACAGGGCCCTCGTGGGCTGTCACCCTGCCACCATTAGCCAGGCCAGGCCCCGGGACGGTCCCAGGACCCTGCAGCCCAGACCGCGGGCCCACGGAGATGCCCAGCGCAAGCGGTGACGTGAGGTGACAGACTGAATGTGAATGCTGGACAATCAGAATCGATTTCGCTACGTTCTGATTTTAAAATTTAAAAAAGTAGCAGGATTTATGAGGAGAATAATGGGCACTCTAAGCATGAAGAAAAAACACAGAAATACTCAATAAACCAGGTGTTTACTGGCAGGAAGTGTCCTCTGGGGATCCCGCTGAAAATAACTATGTGATGTCGATACGCTGATCTTAGCCCGCAGCGAAGTCTTCATCCGAGGAGGCTCCTACAGCAGGCTCCTCCTGAGTCTCTTTATTGACAAAGGCTTTCTGGAAAGCACAAATGTCTGACTTGGACAAGGTGCCATGCAAATCAGCGGGGGAGGGGCACTACAACTTTCTGTAGCATCAGACAGGAAATTCCAACGTGCCAACTCACCTATCCGTCACCTCCGCCCCTCTGCCCTGAGCTGTGTCTTGGCGGGGTGGGGAACCAGGACACCTGGGCAAAACCCAGCCTTTTCAGGACTCCTCGGGGGCTCTCTAAGCATCACATCTCAGAGGCTCTGTGCTCCATCATGCAGGGGCAGGGCTAGGGGGCAGCCAGGCCCCAAGAGATGAGTGGGACGGCTTCCCCCCAGGTTGTTTACCATCGGGCCCCCAGCTCCCGTGGGCCTCCTCAATGGTCCAGGATGAGGCAGCTTGGCAAAGCCAAGCCAGCTGGCTGGTCTTCAGGGGGCCGAAAGGAATTTTGAAAAGGTCAGCCTTCTTCATGTGGGCCACTTTGCCAGAAGAAATTAACTCTCTCTCCACAACTGGCTTCCAAGCAGGAAGAGGCATCCTGACACCCCTCCTCGAGTTTGCTCTGTTGTCCTTCCCTTCCAAGGCAGGGGGTCCCTACCCCCCTGGGTGCTGGGAATGACGGTGGACCTTTCTTGGTCCCTGCTATCCACGGGGGACAGGTACTCCCCACAATGGACACCTGGTAAGCCCAAGGGAGGCGTGGAGAATGTGAGATTCTCAAGTGCCCACCATTTCCCTGAGGTCCTGCATTTGACTGGAGAGAATCTGTCAACGCGACGTCCTTAAGGAAAAAAAAAAAGTGTGTCTCTATCTCTGACATGTGGCTATACACGGGTATATCCTCTGGCTTATTTTGAATGAGGTAGAAAAATAGTTTTATCCTTTTTATGCAGAAAATTCAAACCTGTCTGTTACAATCGTGCATTCGTCTGTAATTGTGCCATCCCACTGTCTGGACGACAAAGCATCAGGAAGCAGGCAGCTGAACAGCAAATGTAGAGAAGAGATCTCAGAAAAGGGTGACCATCCCTGGGATAAAAGGTGAGTCTTGCAGATATCTGCTTAATCCAAGATCCTTTTCTGCAATGTCTTAAAAGGATTTAAGGTTAAAAAAATAGTCAACAAATACTCCAGTTCACTCAGTGCTAAGATTGTCCACAGAAGCCGGGGACGTCAGCTGCACAGGATGATTTCACACAAAGGACTTGCCACGAGAAATGCCCACTCTGCGTTTATCCACTCTGAGTCTCACAACGAGCCGGAGGCAGAAGAATCGGCACATCTGAAGCTAAAACAGGGCGGATTGATCCAGAGCTGAGCTTGGCCTGACCACAAGAGGCGGACTCAGTCCTTCACTTCAGGAGGGGGAGCAGGGGCACCCCAGGCCTTCTCTGTGATGACCCCAGAGAGCTCAGTTTCCAAAATGTCACCAGGCACCAGGAAAGAAAACTTGATCTTGAACTTTGGTCAAAAGAGCCTCAGAAAACAAACTAACAAACAAACCCACATTTTCCAGTAATTCAGTTTCCAGCGTTTAAGTTATTTTAAAATTGCTTTCTCTGCTCTGCTCAGGGTTTGGTGGTTTGAGGTCATTTAAGCCTACGAGTTGCTTTGGTTAACTTTCATGTGTGCACAGTCTGGTCTACACAGACTCTTTTATACACCACTTCATTCAGGGCAAACAGGAACCTCCCACCCCGGCCACTCGCCCGACTGTCCCGAATGGTGGGTTTCTGTCTGTCATTTTGGTTCTGGCCAGGGCAATGCACTGTCGAGGGCTTCCAGAACCCTCCACCCCCGTTGCTTGTGTATCTGTGTTTGCAGCTCCTCCTTCTTTCCCTTGGTGAGTCTGACCAGCAAACAGCTGAGTTTCCTGCATTCCCTCAGCATGCCCATGCATTTCGTTCACGTTCTGTGCGTGACGTGAACTCTGCGCATTCTCTCTCAGGACCCAGCAGTGGGAACGTGGGTGCCAGACACGGCACCTGGAAGAACACTCATCTTCCTAAACTTCCCAGCTTTGGATCTCACACCAGCATGCAGACATGTTTTATATAGGTGACTTTCCTGCGAAAGCTGCCCTTTCAGCGGGCATGCTGGCAGGAGGGTGAGCCTGAGAAGGCGCTGGGCGCTCCCCTCTTTCTCACAGATGGAAGCGCGGCTGTCAGCGGTGGGCCAGCTTTCGCTGCAGTAACCTCTGTCTCCCATCCTTGAAGTGCACTGCCCACTTCGCCATGCTCACGCCACCTGCCTTGGCTGGCAGGTTGTCCAGGCGGTGGGCAGCCTCGCCACCTCACTCGAGAGGCTGCTTCAGCCATCCCCAAACAGCAGTGCTGACTCAGCACGCCCTCTTGTGCGTTCTGGCTTTTAATATTGCCCCTTCAGACCTGTGTGACAGATACAGTCAACATTCACCTTTTCTCGGGCTTTCTGGAGAAGGTGCATCATCCTTCATGAAACACGAAGCTGGGAGGTGAGAATCCGAGCAGAGCTTTAACTGTCCCGCTCTGACTCCGTGGTAGGCCCCTGGGAGGCCTGGGGTAGAGCTGTTTTCCTTTTCTGGTCAGCATGGGGGAGCTGAGGGACAGCCTTGCACTGGGACCTTACTCCCCAGCTGATATCCCAGGTCCCCACATGCCAGGCGTGGACAGCGCCCTCATTTTCACAATGGCAGCATGTCAGTCCTACCCTTTCTCGTTCCACCTCCATGCACACCTCTATTTCCATATCCATCCAACAACACCTCCGGGCGTCTGCTGTGTGCTGAGGGTTTGCACATCCATCTCTCCACTGGAAGAGGGCAGGCGCCCGTTTTCTCTCTCTCTCTCTTCTCTCTTCCCACTGCTCCCCAGCAGAGGATGGTATGAGGAGTGTTCCACGTGCTGCTCACGCCCACTGATCTGAATCTTGTGCAGGACTCAAGGGAATGCGGGCCAGGCTATTCGGGAGCCTCACACCCGCCCAGCCGCTGGACACACAGATCGGCAGTCCCGGTGCCCTCACGGTGGCAGGAGCTTGGTGGCCTGCGGCGGACTCCTGCCTGAGACGGTCCGGGCTCCCACCCTGGCTCGACACAGGCCCCACCCCTTCACTGGATTCTCCGTTCTTGTTCTCAGGCAGACAAATCTGACAAATATTTAGACAGAGTGGATATAAAAAGTGCTTTCAGCAGCTACCACTTCCTCTCTAGAATTGTTCAGCGAAAAAGGAAAACAGATATGAATAGTTCCCCTCACACTGAACTCAGCAGGCGCGGACTTGGGCCTCTCGATGACAAGGCTGACAGCCTCCCCTTTACCAGCCTCCACCCTCGAGCTTGGAGAGACGACACACTTGTGGATGGGGTGGGGAACGGGTGAACTGCGGTTAAGTGTCACTTAGCCTCAAGATGCTGCGGGAATGGCGGGCTGCTTGGAGTGCTCAAGTGTGGACGCTGAACCACGTCTTATGAACAAAAGCTGGCTCCACCCAGCTATGGAAGTGAGCCCCAGCACATCTTCTCAGGGCCTGCAGGCACCCAAGGGGCCCCAGCCAAGAGCAGAGAGTGACTGGTCCAAGGGCAGGGCTCACTGCCTCTTCTGGTGCTGTCTTTTTTGGCTGTTTTCAGGGGTCAGCTTCATCGGCATTTGGGAAGTGGGGTTCAGTGGGTAGAGGTGGTCAAATGGATCCAGCGAGGGGAATCTCTAGGAGCCAGATCTGAATCTAAAATCTACGGTGTGATCCCACTTGGGGGGTCACAGTAAGATCTTTGGACTCTGAAAACGGAGAAGACAAGCATCCTTCTGCCCCAAGTAACTCCAAATATTGTAAAGGCAGCACTCACCCATGGGAGGAAGTTCATCCAAGTTCTGCTTTTTTCCAGGAAGATTACCATGATTTTTAAAAACATACAAACATCAATTCTTTCCAAAGTGTTTTCTGTATAATTGGTGACCCTCCTCTTTCAGTGCCACAAATGACGCCCTCTGTCGGCGGGGCACCCAGCACCGACCCTGCGCTCGCCTTCTCCAGGCGGGTGATGCCTCCACCGGCTGCTCCTCCTGGGCGTCTCCAGGTCCACCTGGAACCTCTCTTCTCTCCGTCAACTTGCTCGCGCTGCGTAACACTATAGCCCTTCCACCCGTCTCCACCCCCTGGGCCCCAGCCATGAGCACGTAAGCATCCCACACCGTGCCCACGGCCAGACACAGACAGCCCCGTCCCCCTTCTCTGAGAGGCCCGCACCCACCTGTCTTGAAGATCTCATAGCGCAGGGAGAAGCCTGCCCCCTGCCGGGCGTAGTCAGAGGTGAACTTGATGTACAGCACGGAGCCCGAGGAGATGATGGTGGGGGGTGCGATGTTCCCGCAGTGCTTCCCCAGGAGGTCTGCAGACTCACTGTCCCCATCCCGAATCTCGATGAAGTCATACCTAGGTGAGGGGACACAGGGCAGGTGAGAACAGGTGGGTGTGAGGAGATGCGCAGGCCTGCTCTCTCACATGGGCTCACTGCTCTCCCCCGGTTCACAGATGCTCAGGTGTTTCAGGTTGATACACAAAGGCGCCACCAGCGTGTGGACCGGCAAACAGATGTGGGAGGTTGCGTTGCTTCATTAAAGCTACAGAGCGAATGTCCCCTCAGTGAGGGGACAGAATTTAAGACCTTATCTCTTGCCCACATAAAAGCAGTAGTATCATTCCATCAAGTATCTCAAAACAAACATTTTTTTTCTTCCTTCGGTAGCACCATTTGTATTTCCACTATGATCTCTCTGAATCCTAGTCTTTTCTTCTTACCCAACCTCTTTGAGCATCAATTTCTTCGTCTGTAAGATGAGGATAAAAATATCCACTTCAGAGGGTTAGGATGGAGATGGAATGAAAAAATAAACGCGAGGTGCTCGGCCCGAGCCAGGCACACCCGGAGTGTTTCAGAGATGGTTGTTTCTTCTCCTGCCCCGCCCCCGTTCCCTTTTTCTCACGGGCCGTCCCCTCTTCTCTTCTCTTTAATTGTTAATGATGATAACTCCCCATCCACGAGCCACCTCCCTCCCCGAGATGACTCTGCCAGGTTCCCATCAGCAGTGTCTAGTCAACAACACGTTTTTAAAAGGAGTCAGCATCAGATTAGATAAGGCAATAAAACCACCTCCAAAAGCAGGGGGCTCCCCAGGGACCCAGCGTCTGTGAGCACATAGCCATCCGCCTCAGCAAAGGCAGAGCCAGCCGCCGCCCTCCCCAGGCCAAGGCCTGAGCTCATTTCAGAGTCAAACAGCCTGGGGTGGGGAAGACACCTCAAAGATGTCCTGGGCTCTGCTCATGGATGGTGCGCACACTGGGCCATTGTATCTGCGCGGACGCATGTCGGCCTTGGGCTGTGCTCTGGTCTTCTCTGGGCCGTACTTCTGGGCTCCCAGCGAACAGTCCCCTCACAACTGCTGAGGTGGGACTCTCCTTCCCCACCAGCTCCCTTCAAATCACTGGCCAGTGCACCACGTACTGAAAACCAGCCCTCTTCCTCTCCCACCCTGTTTACTCATTTTGCATCAACCTGTTAAGACAGCTTAAGAAATCTCTTTTACGTGGAGAGAAGGGCTGGAGACACCACCCTCTCTGAGATGTGCCTGCTGGCTCCTGCCACACATGGGGTCTGTGGGAGGTCTGCCTGCAGAAGGGGCTTGTCTGAGCTGAGCCGGAGGCCTGAGGCCTCAATGCAGCCCTCAGGAGCCACATTTCAGATTGCTCAGCCCCTTCCAAATGAACAGACCTGCGAGGAAGTATGCGTGGACCAGCATTAGTTCATTGTTAGACCCCAGAGGGCTGGAATCCTGCAGTGGAAAGAATGGCAGACGCTGCTTAGCATCTGGACAAGAGATGGCCGGGCCCGCCCCCAGGAGCTCTGGAGAGAGGGCCCCAGAGGAGAAGGGCAGTGGGGAATCTGTTTAGGTCTGTGACGTCCCTGTGGGAGATGGGGCTGACTTTGAAAATGTGCCTCCTCCCTTCGAAAACAAAAGTGAAAAGACAGTTTGTTCTAAGAGGAAATTCCCCAGACCTTCTGGAAAACCCCTCTTGCTATTTCCACACCGAGGTAGGCACCACTGGACAGTCACGCTCAGCTGAGTAATGGTGACGCCAGACCCACCACATGTGACATGGTCGAGGAGCAGCATCGGCTTCGTTCTCTAAGCAGACACTTCCTGGAGCTCTCCTGGAGCAGCCGGCGCACGGCCCCGGGGAGAGCGTCCCCCAGTCCTGGACACAGGTATAGCAGGATTTGGATCCCAGCTCAGCCTTAATAGCTGGGAGCCCTCAGGCAAGTTACTCAACCTTTCCGGGCCTCAGAAATGAGGAAAATAAAAGTAAAATAGGGAGATCAGAATATTTCTCCCAGGGTTCTTGTGAAATTCAAATGACCAACATAATCTTTAGAAAGTGTCAGTACACAGCCTGGCAGTTAGTGAGTCATAACAAACGTTAACCGTGATTTGTTGCAATCTCACACCCATGTCAGAGGCGAAGAGGTTGAACCGTAGAGCAGAGCGACTTTCTGAGAGCCAGCAAGCGAGCAGAGGCGCCACAGAGCGGGAGCGTGCATCTGTTCGCACATTTTGGAGGACATCTTGGCAACAAGGTGACAAAAGTGAATATGTTCCTGCCCTTTAATCCTGCAATCCCACTGCTAGGAATTTTCCTAAGAAAATAATCAGAAAATTGTGCAAAGACGTATATGCATCTATGTGCATGTATACACAAAAAGTACATGAAAAGTGAAAAGATGCTTTGTTTGTAAACAGGATCCTGTCTAAACGTCCAGCAACAGAGGGTGAGCAAATCCATTTTGGTGTATGTATAAAGTGGAGCACTCTGCTGCTATAGTAAATACGGCTGTAGGTCTGGGTTTTTTGTGTTTATGGAAAAATGTCCATCATATAGTGTTAGGGTGAAAAAAAGTAGATTTTTTAAAAAAGTATGTTGTAAAATATATATATTTCCTTGCATATACATACAGAAAAAAGCCTGAAAGACTATATTCTAAAAAAATTAACAGTGGTGAGATGTATGGGTGGTGAGATAATTAGTAATTTTTACTTTCTTCTGTGTTCTCTTTTATTTCTGAATTGTTTACGATGAGCCTGAATTTCTTTAATAAGCCACAAGTATACAAGATAAAGCTGCTTTCATTAAGAATTTTTTCAAAGTAGAAAAGCTAAAAAAATAACCCAGCTCTCATAATGTAGCAGGTGAAAAAGTAAACCTCCTCATCACCATCACCATCCATTCACGGGATCACAGGAGGACTAAGTGACACACGGCATGTCAGAGCACCTGAAATAGAGCTGGGGACGTGGCCCACTCTCAATAAATATTTAAAAAAATTTTTTTAAGGCCACCAGATAGCTCCAGTTTTTGCGTTGCCAATTTCTCTTGGAAGGATAATGAGAGGCCCTGGCCTCCCCCGGCTGGGTCCTCAGAGGTGGAGGGTTCCATCTGGGGGCCTCATCACCCATGGACTAACGTAGGGGATCAGCAGACTCAGCGAGGAGGCAGGGCTCCCCAGACAACGCCACAGCCATGAATTTGCCTGAGTTTACCCCACGGATATACCACCAAATCCCTTTTGGTAATGCAGCCAGCTACTAAATCCATCCTCACATTCCTACAGACACATATAGTGGAGGGATGCATTTTGGAAAAGGGGTCAGATAAATCAATCGTTTTATAAATTTTCTTTCTGAGCTTGTTATTCAAGGACCCCCTGGTGACTCCTTTTGTGAGGCAAATATCAGCCCTTACTTGAACCTCTTAGAAAAACTGGTCTTTCCTATCAGGTTCGCTCCAGGGGAAAGCAGCCCAGGGCTACAGTTTGGTCACTAAACTCCCCCTTCGCTCCAGGGTCTGGACTCTGCCCTGCAGACCAGCCCCAGCTCACCACCAGCTCTTGGCGCAGGCTCTTTGCATAAAGGGCACACTCCGAATGACATGCTGACTTCACACAGAATGTCTCATTTACCTCCTGCGGGACTGGCTCATTTGGGGAAATTTCTTATTATTAGGGATTTGCTACAGCTGCAGTAAATCTCCGAAATTTCAGTGTTGCGAGGTTCGTTTGTGAAGGCGCTCACAGAGGCTTAGGACGTTTGTGGCCTTGGAATAAATATGGCTTTGCATCCAGCAACTACGACGGCGTGTTTGTTCCGTAGAGGAATCTGGGTACAGACTCAGTGTCCCCCCACCACGGCAGTCCAGCAGGGTGACCTGCAAAGCTGTGCCCCTGGAGCACGGTCCTCATCTTCCGGAAGGAAACAGAAACCAGCTAACAGACACATTAGCCACTGTGTTTGCATTTCATTATTCATAATCTCCCTAAAATGAAAAAATTCCTCCCAAAGCTTTAACGCTAACTTTTATGATTGTCTTTCCTTTCCCTAAGCCGAGGAGCCATCTCTACTCCAGCTCTTTTTCTCCCTGAAATGGCTCCCAGAAGCCTTTCACTTTCCCCTCACAGATTCCGACATCTGCATGTGGAGCATTTGTCTGGAGAACGCTTTCTCTGCTTTCTTTCTCGACTTCAAAGTCTTAATTTCTCTCCCCAAACCCACACTTGGGGCGTGGGAATCTTGATGGTGGAATTAATTTTAAGAGTCCACGGGAGAGAGATGAAAAAGCCACAGTCTCATCTCTTCCTCTCATCACCAGGAGAACATGAAAAGAGGCCTTCCACTTCCCACAACGCCACCCTCGTTCGCCGCTTCCCAGCAGGCCACCAGAGGCAGGGCAGGGAGATCCGCCCCTGGGCCCTCTCACAGGGCAGGACGCCCAGCCCCTTCCAAGGTCCACCCTCTGATGCCACCAGAGCTGCCCAGGAAGGGATTTCTGCAGCGGAGGGAGAGCACCTGGGTACTCTGAGGAAGGATGCGACACCCCTTCTATGGGATTTAGGTCTACACATGAGAGCACCTGTGTCCACCCACGTCCCAGAGGCATCACCTCTGCCAGGCAGGCACTGCCTCTCTTCATGCTGCTTGTCCCATGAAATGTTTAAGACATCATCTTTTGTACATGGCAGGCTCTTTCCAGCCCCCGGGCCTTTGCACATGCTCTTCCCTGTGCCTGCAACATCTTTGCTAGCTTTTTCTGTGGCTGGTACCTTCTCATTCTTCTAAGGGAAAATGTCGCCTCCTCAGAGAAGCCTGCCCTGACCTCCCTATTTCAGATGGCGTGCCCCTACCTCTCCCTCGCCCCCCTCTTATTGCCTTTACAGCTGTTATCGTAACCTGTAAAGGTATCATCAATACTCTATTTGTTTAGAATCTGTGTCCTGCACTAGACAGCAAGCACGCTGAGGGCAAGGACCTCACTCTCACTGCTGAGTTTGACACGTGCCTGGTACCTGGCACACGGGAGGGCTCCCTACTTTTTGTGTTGAGTGA